CCCCCCCCACCCCCACATGGGTGGGGTTAGTACATGTATAAATTTTGCATATGTGAATGTTTGGAGACAAGTTTGATTGAAAAGCGGAATGGAACATGTTCATGTGTGGTATGGCAATGAGGGGTTGCAGCCAAAACTGAGGTCAAAAGAGCCAAGTTGAGTGGAACCAAGTCCAAGTCCTTCATACCCTCCTCTTACTATTCTCTGTACCTTTTGTGCCTCATATGCCTTTGCCCTCTGCACCATAAAACCTTCAACATTTTAGTGCCAAAAAACAGCACTTATGAATGCATACATACATTATTCAAGTGTTCGAACATTCGAACTATGCCAAATGCCTCCACTTTGTGACATCTATTATCAAGATTCCCTCTCATAGTTGAGTTTAATATAATGGGTACTAAACTGGGTAATGACCCATTTAGTTGGATTTGATACAACTACAAGCAAGTGTAGAAATAAGGCGATTCGTTTGTGAGAAAACATTGAGGGTTGTATACGTTTTCAACAAATAAGAAGTACCTGCATTGTTTCAATAGCATCTGTCTCCGAATTGAAGTCATGAAATTTACTTGCTGCAGTGAGCTTCATAGAAAGGAACTGCAGAAAAAACAATAGAATGAGTTAGGTTATTTCATTCTATCCCATTCTTGAATGGAAAATTGCCTGTACTGATCTTCACTCACCTCAACCTGATTCTGCAAGGATTGGACATAATTGATTATTTCATCCAACATTACTGCCATCCCCATAGTCTGCAATTTGAGCAATTGAAAGAATTAGGATCCTGTTTTTAATTTTTTTTCATATAAATATGTAATTAAACTCGGAAACAATTTAGGGGAAAGGCTGTGCATGTCTCACTTTCCAAGACCTCTCAGTGGCGGAAATCTCGTACAGTCGACCGCCCTTTATGTAAATAATATAATCAAACTACATAAAACTGAGATCACCTTGTAGCATCCTGGAACAATGTCTTGCAAGCACCTAAGCCTCTCATTGATTTTTCCTCTTCTAGCCTGATCCAAACAGCAAGAGCATATAGTAAATTGATCATAACATCTATAAATACCACATTTTTTTTTAAATGTGGATTATAAACAGGTTGCGACCACAGCAATGTTTTAAACTTACCCTCTCTGCTATACTGTGACTGTCAGTGGCTTGGCCTCTTCTAGCTCTGACATGTACCACTTCTTTTGGTTTCTCCTGTTCATTCTCATTACTTTTCATTCTCTTTCCTCTTCCTGAACCCTTTAATTATAACACATGAAAAAAATTATATACTTCCAAATTATATTAAAGCAGAGTCATCAAAGTAAAAATAAAAAAAACATAAGAATCATGAACAAATTCAAAAGGTTGAGTTGTTACATTTTTCCTCTTAATCCCATTTTCAGAAGCTGGAGGAGAAGAGTATCCAGAACTACTTTCTGAGACATCAATATGCTTTCTCTTCTTACTCTCATGAGAATCAACTCTATAGACAATGGGCTCGGAAACCGGTGCAACGTTCTTGTGATCATGAGGGAAAAAACCAGGAAAATTCTCTGCCAAGTTTCCTCCGAATTCAGGTAATTGCTTGGCAATGAAATTATCATTGGAAAAACCCATGAAGTTTTGGAAATTTAAGTTTGAGCTCTCTATAGCACTTGGGTTTAGCTCTGGAAAATGGTTGATCAGTTCCATGTTTGGATCAGCATCTAAGAAAGGAATTGATGGTTCAAAGCACTGAAAATTTGATGTGAAGTCAGCCATGGAACTTAGTCTTAGAGAACTCTTTGATCAGCTATGTGCAAGTTCTTGTAATCTCTGTGACTGATATGTTTATATATAGTGTGGGATTATAATGTTATTATGTTCCAGATTAACCGATGAAAAAGAAGCATTTTGAGGGGACCAGGTGGCAACTTCAGCTTCTGTAATTGTGTTCCCTATTGGGACCCATATTCAAGAGATATATCTAATAAATGCGGGCCCATGTTAGCCATTTGGCTTTTAGTTTTTGGTAAAATTAATGAAAAAGGTTTCAGCTAAGCTTAAAATTTTAAGACCTTTCTTTTTCCAAGCGTATGAGAAGTGGGAAGTGTATGAGAGTGACATTATCATTGTGAGCAAGCACTGGTTGGTAAGTTGTTCCTTCCTTTTCATTGCGTACAAAGTCCCACAACAATAGATAATAACGCCCAAGTAGTGCTATCACAACCAGAACTTTTATCCTGGGATACAGTGCAATTATTGATAATTAAAAGGCAAACATCATAAGTTCCCCCTTGAACTTTGGTACAAGTTTTAATTTACCACCTTAGCTTCAATTTGTCTTGGATCATTTCAATTAGCTCATTTCCTCAAATTTCAGCACCAGACCATACAAAAATGTTAGACAAATTGAAGTTAAGGGATTAATCGACACAATTATTTTTTTTCAGTTATTTTAGAAGGAACTTGATGAAAGGAGCTATTTGATACGATTTTAAAAATTGATGGTTAAACTTGAGAAAAATTAATAAGGAGTGAATTGAAGTTGGTGTCCAAGTTCAATGGAACAATATGATGTTGATTGCCCTGCCAATTAACTGGGGGAGATCATGTGGGAGAAAATATCCTTTGTACTCCTTCAAAATTACCCATTGGCCATTGGACAAGTTCATAAACAGCTCAATTCCAATCCGTGTGGAAGTGTACCATGCCACAATCCTGTCTTAATAACATTTTAGGTGATACGGTCGGATGAAGAAATCCATAAGTTGCAAGTAAAATAATCCTATATAATTATTTCAACTGTCAGACTATTAGATCAAAAAATTAGATTAAATTTTTATATTTCAACGGATAAAATTTCGTTTGCTTGTATGACTTTGTTAATTGGTCATAGTGGTGGATAATGGGCGGGTTGAATTAATTATGGGTTGGTTCAAAATGAATTGGATGTAAAACAAATCTAATCATTTTTTAACCCATTTAATAAATGAGTTATAATGGGTCAAATTATAATAGGTTAAGTTAAACTCATTAACCCGTAAAATAATTAAAACTCTTATTATAAATACATACTTATACATCAAATAAAATATATGTTCAGACAAAAAAAAAAACAAACACAATAATACACAAAAACACACACACAAAATATAAACAAATTTAATAAAACACCAAAATATACTATTCACCAAAATAAATACAAAGAGGGTTGGCTCGGGTCTTGGGTAGGGTCGGGTGTATTAGTGTGTGTTTGTGTGTTTTTGGTATACTAGTATGTATCTTTTGATATATTAGTAGTGTATTAGGGATAACCTATGTTTGAAGACACGGTATAATGTAAATGATTTTGAGAGCGATATTAGTGGCAGCTGAATGAGTTTGTTTGAGACCGTTAGATAGGTTTATTGAAATCTATCATGTTTTGTATTAATAATGCATGTGTGTGTATTTTTAGCGTATTAGTGTGTGTATTTTTTGTGTATTGCTTTTGTTATTTAATAAAAAAATAAATACTCAACTTAATAAATACCCATTTGTAATTCATCGTAATCCATTTAATTAAAATGAGATATATTACCTAACTCATTTAGAACTTACATTAATTAATATAGATATCTAACTCATTTATTTATGGATGAATTAAGCGAATTAATGAATAATAGGTTAAGGTTGTTAGTTCTATTTAGTCCTAACAAGTAGGGTGTGTGTTTGGCATGTGGCACAATAGACTGGAATAATCCACAAGGGATTAGATGTCCCATGGACCCACCCAAAAATCCAGATAAATAGATGAAGTTCTAATATTATTTTATTCTCCCTTGCCAACACGGATTGGCTTTGAAACTTTTATTTGGTAAAAAATTAAAAAAAAAAAAAAAAAAAAATTTATTGGAGGATTTGGTAGCTCATGTCGACTGAAAATTATTTAGTACAATTGAGCCTCATCCTCCATTGGTGAACACCTATTGCCTCTTATTAAGTGCTTGTTAATATCATTAAAAGGTCTTTGTCTGGTAAATTGAGATGATGATAACTCATCTACAAACATCGTTCACATTGAGGATTATTGAGGTCCCATGCATTACCCACCATAAATTTAATGAGGTCCTACTATGCATATTTCTCTATCAAATATGGTATTTGATTTTTCATTAAAAAAAGATTAAGAAAATATGTATAAGAGGGAATCTAAAGCCTATAATAATTCATCAAAACCTTTACGTTTTAAACTCGTTCTCTATTCAAAAAAAAAAAAAAAAACTTGTTCACGAGTTTGCAATTTAAACATGGACTATTTCATATAGTCATGTCCGATTGTCCCATATAAATTTGTATACTGGATTCATCTCATATGATTGATGTCTAATATTAATAAAGCTTATTTATTTGACAGTTAAAGAAACAAATCAACAAGCTGGAATAGCTCAGTTGGCTAGAGTGGCTGTTAACCACAAGGTCGGAGGTTCATGCCCTCCTTCGAGCATTTCATGTTTCTATTCTTTTGTCTTTTGGATTCGTTATTATGTTATTTTATATACTAGAGGTAATCCGTGTCTGAAGTAATATGAATAATTTTGAGAGGGATGTTGGTAGTCGTTGGATGAATCTGTTTAAAATTGTCATATATACTTATTGAAGTTTGTCATGTATTATATTATAAACATATCAAGGCGACATGGGCTCAATTAAATCTAAAAACGATGAAAACAATAAATCTATGTTTATCAAATTTTTTATTTTAAATAATGTGGTACAATTTTTATAATTAAATATTAATGAATCTATTTATCGAATTACAAAAAAAAATGTCACATTGGAACGGAAATTTGATGAAAATATTTGGTGAGACCCCATAACTTTCCACTGTTGCACTGTAGGTCTAACACTCTTTCCGAGTATCCAGAGCTATTAAGGTGATTGTTCATTCATTCTCTTTGTCTTTCTATGTATATTTCAACTTCTTTTTTGTTAAACTTGAAATTGCTATTACGTGGCTCTGAAAAAATAATACAATATGATACATACCTGCACGGTGGGTTTATATACAAGTAAATAATAATTGGAGAAGTTGATTGCATAAACAACTTTGTAGTATGATCACATGATTCTCAAAAACTGGATATTGTTCAATTCACAGAAGCTAAAATGGTTTTGAGTTGTAATATGTTGAAATCAAAATTGCCTTATTGCTTGCTGAGATTTGGGTGAATAGGTGAAGAGGGTCTATTTGGTTGCTTAGAATGCTGCAAGTTCGTGGTTTGAGATTGCGGCATATGCCATCGACTTGAAAGGGTGTTGAGATATGTCGCATAATGGTGGTTAATAATATAAACGAAATGCTAGATATTGATGAGCTCAAAATCAACTAGGTCAGGTCCAATGAATCAAGAAGGAGCCCTAGTCACCAGAGCCCAAAAGAAGACACTCCAAGGGGTGCCGCACAAGGGGGTCACCCAAGCCCCTGGCGCCGCCCAAGGGGTGGGCCCTCCTGTCTCTCCTTTGTCTTCTTCACTTTGCCATTCCAATTCAAGGCCAACCTAACTCAGGATCCTCCTCTCGACAGAATAGGAGCACGGGGAGAGAATATCGGGATACGTACAGAGATCTAATCCTACTTTAATTGTACTTACCAAAATAATAGTAACCACCTCATCTCATCGCCTCACCATACCTATATAATGTAAGCCCTCTCCACATAAAGGGCATGACCTAAGAACCTTAACATCTCATCACCTTGAAACCTCTACACACATTGTTCCTCTCTCTCAAGAAATTGTAATTCACCCGGAGTACTCTCTCCCGGTGACTTTTATTTATCAATAAAGATCTTCGGTCACCGTTGATGTTCCGGAGAGCGGAGTAGGTCATTCAGACCGAATCACTATAAATCTACTTGTTTGCTCTATTTACTGTTTTGTCATTGGTTGCATATTTATTGCTCATTAATTGTATCCTTACATATACTCGACTATTAATTTTGTACAATATCAATTTGTGCATCATCAGATATCAATAGTTGAACATGGGGAGAAATTAGTTCTATGCTACGACATCGCATAAGGATACGTGGTGATACATTTCGATGTGATAACGAAATTTGCTCTACTAGTATTGGTTTTAGAACGGAAGGTGTCATTCTAGATTTGGCAGCCAAGTTATATTGGTATCAACCGTTATTTTAAACTAGGATACAATAATGATCCAGTGCTTCAAATGTTGGAGAGGGCAGTGGCGAAGTCATGAATATAATTTAGGATGGGCACACCTAATATATATATATATATATATACACACACACACACTAGTTATTGTCTATACTTGAAGGCACAGAGTAATAAAAAAAATTATCAACAATAAACATATTTATATTCATCCCCAAAATCAAATCATAAACATAGAAGAGAGATAATAAAATTTAAGCACATGTTGCAGTAGAGATGAACAATGGTAGTGGTGATGGGCAGTAATTGTGGAGGTTGGAGACGGTGATGGTTGTGGTGGGTGGCAATGACTGTGGTGATAGTGACAGTTGTGGGTGACAATAGTGATGGTGGTGGTGGATTTTGGGTAACGATAGTGGTAATGACAGCCATTGGTGATGGCGATAGTGGTGGTGGGTGTGGGTGACAATGATGGTAGATGGTAATGGTGGTGGGCGACGATAGGTGCTTATGGGCAACAGTGTGGTGAGTGGTGACAAACGACAGTGATGGTATTAGTGGTAAATGTGGTAAGTTGTGAGTGACAGTAGCTGATGATGATGGCGGGTGACAACGGGTGGTGGTAGGTTATGGTAGTAGGTGGCGA